GTATAGGAGGCAGCAATAAAAACCATCCCAAAGAAAAGGAAATGCAAGAAAGCAAAGTGGTTGTCCAATGAGGCCTTACAAGTAGCAGAGAAAGGAAGGGAAACAAAATACAAGAGAGATAGGTAAAGTTACAGAAAATTGAATGCCGACTTCCAAAGGTTAGCAAGGAGAGACAAGAGGGCTTTCTTAAATGAACAGTGCAAAGAAATAGAGGAAAATACTAGAAAGGGAAAAACCAGAGATTTTTTAAAAAGGGAGATATCAAAGGAACCTTTTGTGGAAAGATGGACATCATAAAGGACAAAAATGGTAGGGATCTTACAGAAGCAGAAGACATCAAGAAGAGGTGGCAAGAATACACAGAGGAATTATACCAGAAAGATCTGGATGTCCTGGACAACTCAGATAGTGTGGTTGCTGACCTTGAGCCAGACATCCTGGAGAGTGAAGTCAAGTGGGCCTTAGAAACCATGACTAACAACAAGGCCAGTGTAGGTGATGGCATTCCAGTTGAACTATTTAAAATCTTAAAAGATGCTGCTGCTAAGGTGCTACACTCAATATGCCAGCAAGTTTGGAAAACTCAGCAGCGGCCAGAGGATTGGAAAAGATCGGTCTATATCCTAATCCCAAAAAGGGCAGTGCCAAAGAATGCTCCAACTACTATACAATTTCATTCATTTCACACACTAGCAAGGTTATGCTCAAAATCCTACAAGGTAGGCTTCAGCAGGATGTGGACCAAGAACTCCCAGAAGTATAAGCTGGATTTCGAAGGGGCAGAGGAACCAGAGAACAAATTGCTAATATGCTCTGGATTATGAAGAAAGCCAGAGAATTCCAGAAAAATATCTACTTCTGCTTCATTGACTACGCGAAAGCCTTTGACTGTGTGGACCACAACAAACTACAGTTGTGCCCCACTTTACGATTGCCCCGCATTATGACGAAACCGCATTACGATGATGTTTTTGCGATCGCTTTTGTGATCGCAAAACGATGATCTAAATGGGCTTGTTTCGCTTTGCGATGATCGGTTCCCTGCTTTGGGAGCCGATTCTTCGCAAAACGACGAATTTCCTACAGCTGATTGGTGGTTTCAAAATGGTCACCGGGTAAATAAAATGGCTCCCTGCTGTTTTCTGGGACGGATTCCTCCCAAGACAGCCACTGAAAATGGCTGCCCTATGGAGGATCTTCGCTGGTTGGTGAGTTTCCAGCCCTTTGGAACACATTGAAGGGGTTTCAATGCGTTTCAATGGGCTTTTTATTTTCACATTACAACATTTTCATTCTACAGCGATTTCACTGGAACGAATTAACGTTGTAATGTGAGGCACCACTGTATGGCAATTTCTTAAAGAAATGGGAGTGCCTGACCACCTTATCTATCTCCTGAGAAATCTATATTTGGGACAGGAAGCAACAGTTAGAACTGGAAATGGAACAACTTATTGGTTCAAAATCGGGAAAGGAGTACAACAAGGCTGTATATTGTCTCCCTACTTATTTAACTTATATCCAGAATACATCATGCGAAAGGCTGGACTGGAGGAATTCCAAGGCAGAAGTAAGATTGCAAGAAGAAATATCAACAAGTTCAGATATGCAGATGATACTACTCTGATGCCAGAAAGTGAGGAGGAATTAAAGAACCTCTTAATGAGAGTGAGATCAAAAAATGGTCTGAAGCTCAACATCAAAAAGACTAAGATCATGGCCACTGGTCCCCATAGAAGGGGGAGATATGGAGGCAGTGACATTTTACTTTCCTGGGCTCCATGATCACTGCAGATGGTGACGGCAACCATGAAATTAAAAGGCGCCTGCTTCTTGGGAGGAAAGCGTTGACAAACCTAGACAGCATCTTAAAAAGCAGAGACCTAATTTTGCCGACAAAGGTCCACACAGTCAAAGCTATAGTTTTTCTAGTAGTGATGTATGGAAGTGAGAGCTGAACCATAAGGAAGGCTGACCGCCGAAGAATTGATGCTTTTGAATTGTGGTGCTGGAGGAGACTCTTGAGAGTTCCCTGGACTGCAAAGAAAACAAACCTATCCATTCTGAAGGAAATCAAGCGTGAGTGCTCACTGGAAGGACAGATCCTGAAGCTGAGGCTCCAATACTTTGGCCATCTCATGGTTGGACGTGTCGTCGAAGCTACTAACATGAATTTGAGCAAACTCTGGGAGGCAGTGGAAGACAGGAGGGCCTGGCATGCTTTGGTCCACGGGGTCACAAAGAGTTGGAGACGTGTTAACAACTAAACAATAACAACATACAGAGTTTGCCCCTCAATATTCAAGACTCTATTTTTTATTATCTGGAATAGCTGAGATGGGGGTATTGAGCCCTAAAGATCTGGTGACAACTCGAGACTTGAATAGGGCCAGACCCTTTGGAAATATATTGTCAGAGAACAGTGCTTGAAACAGGATGTCCTGGGCTGAGGAAAAAACAGATTCTGACCTCCGAAAAATCTGAGCCAAGCCAGGGCCTCAAGCCTATGCTGGCCAGCTTCAAGGCATAGGGTCAGATAAGAAAAACCAAGAGACAGGTGAAAGATTTTATACAGAAACATTGATCGGACCCTTTCCGTAGAGCTGTGAAATGCAGGCATCCAAATGGGGACACCATAAAGAAGCTGTGCTACAGATTTGGATAGTGTAGCAAAGAGAAAATATTTGTTTAATATATTATATAACCACATCCTACAACAGTTTATATTTGCTGAAATCCAGTCACAACTAGAGTAGCCCACTGAATCAATGAAACTTGCATAGATGTTGAATCACCAAATCCCCTCTGATTTGCTGGGCCTACTCTAGTTGCAACTTACTACTAGATATCAGCCAATGTATAATACACAGTACATATTTGGTTAAGAACAGCACTGCTTGACTGGCCTTTCCATTAGACTGATTTTTATTTCTGGAACATGTGAAACATGGGATGATCACAATGGCCAGCCAGAAACCTTTTCTAAGGTAGTCTTGTAAAAAGTAACTCACAGAATGTACTATTTTTAAAAAAACAAATGTTTTCAAGACTCAGAATGCATTTTCCTTTCAATATTTAGAGAACATTTTGCATGTATACATTATATATTGTCTATAGGCAGTGTATGGTTGTGCTGATGCAAGATTACTATGCTGTCTCCCCTGCACAAACAGATGATTATTGTCCCCCTGTGGCCACAGAGATCCATCTTGGAATTAGACAAAGAAGTTGTGCTTCATTATGCAGTCAGGCCATGGTGTTTTGGCTTTGGCTTTGTTTATAAATATGCTAAAATCCTGTTGCTTGAGTAGGTCCACTGAATTAGTGGGGATTTGATGAGTTAATTTCTCTGTAAATTCCATTGATTCAAATGGGCCTACTCTAACTCTAAATTACTATCAAAAAGTAACTTGTAGTTAGAATAGGCCTATTTGAATTAATGGAGGAATTGACTCATCAAGTCTCTATTGATTCAATGGGCCTAGTCTAGTCTGATTTACTACACTTGGCAACAGGAATTGGGCCATGTTGTAGCTAAAAATTAATCAGTTTGATCCTATTTTGAGTGAGGATTTGGAGTTCTGTGTTTGGAACTTCCTTGCTGCGGGCAGCACTGCTTCTGTACATACTCCAGATAAATGGCAATGTGAAAGAGACTGTATCTCACAAAATCCCCCCGCCTGCAGGGCCAGTGCCCACACTGACTGAGAAATTCTGCGAGTTGTGCTTCGAAAGAGTAATCAATCCATCGGAGTAACTTGAGTTAAGCACATCTGTAGTGTACATGGACAATTAAATATGTGCATATCTTTCTCCCTCTGAAAATAGTAGAACTTCAAAGTTCTTGTATTTAACTAGATTGTGTCTAGTGTTAATATAATGCTTGTCTGGAAAATCTCCTGGGTTCTAATTCTTAGATAAAGCTCTTTTTAATCTGTTTTATTCCAACATGTATCTTAATTTTTTCTGCTTCATTCATATGTTCTCATGTATAATCATTTAGGACCTCCAGGCTGTTTTACGCTTTAGCACTGAATCTTACTTTGTTCCTTTTAATAACCTTTAGAAGCACATAGAACTCTATAGCTGTAAAACAAGTGTAACAAATTGAGACTTTTTTCTTCTTATACATCTGTGCAATGAGACTCCAGGAACTCCCTTCTTTGCTTGTCATTATTTATGTACTTCTTCTAAGCCTTTTACAAAGTGCATTACATTTGCCTCATCTCCAGATCTTTGTGATGCAAGCTGCTAAGTGCTGGTATTCCCATTTTACACATGGAAAACTAGAACTGATTTGCCCGGAGGTATCTGTGTGAAGTCAAAAGAACACTGGGATTCAAACCCACATCTCTACCCCAGCTTTATTTCCTTACCTGGTAGACTACACTGACTGCTAGAAAATTCTTCATCCTACCACTCAGTGCATAGAATTCATTTTGTTAGAAAGAAAAAGAGACAGCTGATACTAAGTCACTCTTGCCTTCCACAAAGCATCCATGACTTCCTGAATTCCTGGATTCTTTGATCTCTTGCATGTTTGATTCCTGGGTGGGTGGATGTGGCAACATATGAGTGCCCCTCTAATGAATTGCAAAGCATGAATGCTAAGTCTTCTTTGACTTGGAAAACCTTTAGCTGTGATGGCTACCTTGAAATCTATTGTGTTCCATCTGCATCTACTTTTTTTTAACTCCCATTGCATCCACACTCCATTTTCCTTCAGTGCCCTTGACTAAGAGTTCATCCCAGTTTACATACCAGTCCTTTTGCTTATTTATGAAAGCCAGCTGGGAGAAGAGAGATGGCTCTGAGATCTATTGTCACTGTAAACTTTCTGTCCTGGTGGGGACTGTGTCACACACATGTTGTGTGACTGCCTATGCAGCGGGGAATGCCCAGGTGCCCAGGTTTTTGCTCCTTTCTTTGCAGCTGTCAGCCAAGATCAAAGATGCAGTTCTAATCCTTTGTAATTCTAAATTGTTCTTATTTCTTTGTAGCTACCTCATCCCTGAATTCCCAACTTCAGCAGCTTCAGCATCTTCAACAGCTTCAGCAGCAGCAGCAACAACAGCAACAGCAACAACAGGGCCAAACTAGCCAGCAACCACAAGGGCAAGCCAGCCAACCCCAGCATCAAGCTCAACCCCAGCCGCAGCCACAACAGCCTTCACAGCAGCAGCAGCAGCAGCCACAGCAGCAGTCCCCACCGCAGCCGCCACCGCCACCATCTCAGAACCAGAGCCAACCACCACCATCTCATCAGTCTTCAAGCTCCCCACCAAAGCCTAACCAATCACCAGGACATGGCCTTCCTTCACCCCTCACATCACCAAATCCACTCCAGGTAGGCCTCCTGGTCCTCTGACTATGGCTTCTTCCTCTCTTTTCTGCCAATTATCACCTTCTTCTTTTTCGATACTTCTTTTCGTTCAGTATCACTGTTGCTTCTCTTTCAAATTTCATGTTGCTCCAGTACCTTCCAGGTCATTAGCCTGAGCAAAGTGGTTACCCTAAGGGACAGGGTGTTCCAAGCACTGGCAGAACTTCTACCACCAGCTCACTGCTACATGGTTCCTCTCCTCACCCCTCCCATGTGCTCTGCTGCCACACACAGGAACACTTGCTAGGAAAGGGAGGGTGAAGAAGAAAATGGGCAGCAATAGAGGCAGAGCCAGGGAGGTGTTTTAATTTGCCTTTAGCTGGAGTTTTTCTCAGCCAAGTGTTTGTTGTGAGAAACAACTTCTCACAGTGCCTTGACCCTGAGGATCCCGTCTTTAGGAATACATCAAGTAATGGTTTCAATGTGACCATGGGCACCAGAGAGTGGCAGGGAGGGGGTGGCAGAAGGTTGAGGCAGTGATGGTGCTTCTTCTCCCACTTCAGGCAGTAGGAGATCTTGAGCCAACAGTGGTGCCTTTAAAAACAATGGTCAGAATCCTATTGGCAGTTGTGTACATTTTTGCTACTTGCCACAGCTAATTGCAACTGATCGATGTATTGTCAGAACACATCTCAGTTGTGTAATTGTGCACATGACCAGGCATGCTACCGTGTTTCCCCGAAAATAAGACAGGGTCTTATATTAATTTTTGCTCCAAAAATGCATTAGGTCTTATTTTCAGGGGATGTTTTTTTATGTACAACAATCTACATTTATTAAAATACAGTCATGTCATCTTCTTCTGGTTGCTGCACGATAGTGGAAGGTGGGGCTTCACTTAACTGGGGCTTATTTTTGGAGTAGGGCTTATATTACGAGCATCCTGAAAAATCATACTAGGATTTATTTTCAGGTTAGGTCATATTTTCAGGGAAACAGGGTATTAAGATGCAGCTTGTAAATTAGCCACAATTAGCCGTGTCACAATTGGCATGCTTGTAAGCAGTTGCACAAAGTTTACAAGCATGCCAGTTCTTTCAGTACTACCATACTGCCATTTAACTTGTCACTGTTCTGGCATTCTAGTGTAGCTCTTTTCTACTAAGCACAAGAACTGTGTGTGCTACTCCAAATGGTATATCAAGCTAAATAGACTTTAGTAGCATAGAAACAGCAGGTGCACCATGAGGAGAGAAGCTTTCCCTGCTGCTTATTATATTTTACATATTGTTTTATAGTTTATGCTGATCCATGGTTTTGCATCAGCCAGAACCACAGTGAACTTCCTTTCCCCCCCCCTTTTTTTTTCTTTTTCTTTTTGAGTCCTGGTGAATACAGAAAGCCACTGCTGCCTTAGCAGGTTTATTGTGCAGATGGTTGGCAAGGATTCAGTATGATGCAATATGGTAAAAGGAAGACACCCATACAAGCCAGGGAAGCTTCTGAGTCCAGCTGGGTGTGGTGATAACCAGTCCTCCCACCCACAGCAGAGAGACTATCATGGCCTTTGTGATCCAAAGAGTTTGTACACCAGAGTGTCCCTATGTAAAAACTGGCAAGGTAGTAAGGAAACAATAGCCACTCATCTCCTTACGGGGAATGGAAACAGTTACATGCTGATTGATTCAAACTCCATCAGCTCAGCAACTTATCACCTTGATAAAATAGGCTACTCTTAGAACAACAGATTTGTAAGTACAGGTTATGATGTGTGGTTTCTGTTTTAATTTTGTGGCTGCTGTCTCCATCTGCAGTGATCATGGAGCTTTCTCCCTAGCCCTACTATATTTTCATTACTACCTTGCAAGAGCAGCAAAGACTAATGTGGTGCTTTAAAACTCTGTTTTTTCTTAGGAAAGACTATAACTGACCATTCCAATGTCTCCTACTTCACCTCTCCTCCTTCCTTTGGAGTGGGGTCCACTAGCAGCCCGTCTTAGATCTGGGAAATCTCGCAACAGTTCCTGCGTTTTCATTCGCTCATACACTCTTAACCTCTCCAGCTCTCTCTTCCGTTTCCACAATTCTAACTCTACCTCGAACCGCCATTCTCCTTGACTACTTATACCCTCTTCCCAGACTGACAGCTCCTGCTCCTCCCCTTTCTTGCTTCCACGCTCCTCTACCCGGCTTACTTCAAATTTCCCGCCTCGCTCCATTTTCCCCTCTTCTGAAGTTCAGTTCGCCCTTAGGTCCACTGGCTCTTTAGCACTCTCGGGTTTTCCCCCACCCTCCTTTCCTTCTTCCTCTTGAGAAGGCACACTCTCTCCTGGACCTCCTTCACACCAACCTTGGGTCTGCAGATGTTCTTGAACTAAAATTATCAGAAGCCTTCACCACTAGCTGTGCTGGTCAGGATTTCTGGAAGTTGTAATCTAAGAATATCTGGGGACCCAATGTTGGGAACAACTGTATTGATCATGAGTTCTTATGAACTACAGTCCACTTCCTCATATACAAGGAAGGAGTATGATCTTGTAGATGCAGGCGTGTGTGTAGTGTAGTTTCCCAAAGGAAAGATGCTGACATTGTAGAAAGTACAGAAGGTGACAATTGTATTATTAACTGCATTGGTCATTGACAAAATATTGGTTAGAACAGAAATATTATAACAGGAGATAAAACATTTAATTCATGCAATAAGATGAACAGCTGTTTTTTTAAAAAAAAAAGTTTTAGAATTCTATGAAGAAACAGAGTCCTGTTTCTGACAGGGTGGTTGTTTTTACTGCTGAGTAAGGACAGTAGCACTGAATGTCAAACTAGATACTATAGACAACATATTGCTTGAAGTAGCAATTTCTTAAATGTTGAAAGATGTTTAGTTCTCATTCCATTAGGTTTTCTCATGTCCCCAACTTACACATTCAGTTACACATTTGAATTGGGATTGGTCATCAGAAGTAAACATGACTTCATTTACATTCTTTTTTGCTCAGTGACAAAACTTTGAGAGCATTGCTTCCCTCACACACTGCTTTCACCTACTAATGATAAGCCAAGTATAGCATCTGATTTGACCCTATGAAAAAGAGAGAGACTCAAGAGAACTCGGCATCACAGCTAGACAGGGACTTGTTCTAGACTGCAGAAAAGCCTTTTCAACATTTTCCCATCCCCTTGACTGATAAGGAAGAGCCTACTGTTTCCCTACAAACTGCCATTATCAGTTCATTCATGCTAATTCTGAACACCGAGACTCAGACTAATTGCAAGCAGTTTTATTTCTTGTTTGCTCCAGCTGTATTCTCATATGTGACCATATCTGGTCACGGGGGAATAAAGATCACACACAGAAAGGAAAGCAAAACCAAAATTTAAAAAGGATGGTAGTATTCAAAACTAGAGAGTGCAGACTGTAAACATAGGAGTAAGAACAGCAGTTTGTGTGAAGAACAGCTGGTATGAAGGCACCCACTTGGTAGCAGGGGAGAGTCAATTTCCCTCTTCAGGAAGGCAATGATCTATTCACTGTGGGGAAAATAAAATGAACACTGCAGGGGCTGCGTGTACATGCTGATTGCTGTCAGCTAATTTAAATCAATCTTTTGTATACATGCTGCAAAGAACCAGCAGCTTTTACATAAGTGATAGGAGAAAACTAAAACCAGACAATGGCAATTTCTAGACCACTTTTCATGGAAGAGTCTCTCTCTCTCTCTCTCTCTCTCTCTCTCTCTCTCTCTCTCTTAGTACCTGAGGACAACATTAGCAACAATACACAATAAAATGGAGCATAAGCATACATTTAAGAAAGCTGGGCAAATACATTCTTCAGCAAATATGTTCTCAAGCAAATAAAGCTGTAAAAGTGGGAGAGGCTATTCTCAGTCAGTGCATTCTTTAACATCTTTGGAGAAATTCAGAAACCTAAAATTTACTAGCTGTGTGACAGACAACCTACCTATTGCTTCGAGTGGGGTTTGGTAAGTAAGTGTGTGCAGGGTTAAAATGGCCTGTTTAGGATTAGTGAGAAGGGGTATCATTTGTCATATATATTCTTCTTCTGGCACATAAACTATAGTTTTGAGATTCCTGTGTGGGGAAACCACTGTTACAACGTTGTAGTACAGATAATGTCCAGAAATATTGTCTTGCTTTGCTGGCTTTTTGTATTTAGAGGATGAGCTTTCCGATTAGTTAGCAGAAATATCGCTGTTCCAAGGTTTAGTATAAATTAGGACACCGAAACTGATGCTGCTTTAGGGCTAGTTGTATTATTATTTCTTATACTATGTTAAGAATTTGTGAGTTTCTTATTGGACATGTCTCTGACCCATCAAGTATTATTTTGTAGTGATGGTGGTGTGGGGGTGGTTCTGTCAGAACTTGAAAAAGTTACTTTTTCTGACACAACTTCCACAGTGCTGGCTAGAGTATTCTGGGAGTCATGCTCCAGAAATGTTGTCAATGGCAGTGGTTTTTCATATTCCCTCAGAGCCATCTTACACTCATTTGATCATTGGTTAGACACCAGTGCTTCATGTTTCTGCAAGTGCTGAAATTCTTTCGTCATAGGAATAGGTTTGAATGTTTCGCAAGCCTGAAAAAAAATGGCAGTTTGCAAACTGAAAATTTACCATTTGGGAAATCCTTTGCCATTTAGCACTTAGCACACAAAGCTTTAATTTCAAAATCTTGTGCAAGGTTCTTCTAAGGATGCAACAGTAGTACATAGTGCCAATGGCTGCTTAAGCTAAGTGGGCAGCCTATTGTGTTAGCAATAGCTTGGGGATGCTTTAATATGCAGATTATTGATGGAAAAATAGTTGCCTGACACATTTTATTGCTTCACTGCTGCTCCAGCATAACCATGCATACTGTAGGAGAAAAGGACTAAACTGCTTGTTAACTACTTGTCAATTTTCTTGCTGTACAGTTACTTTTCTTTTTAAACATTGTGTGTGTGTGTGCGTGTGTGTGCGTGTACATGCACAAAAAGGAGCAAAATTTAGCCTTTACAC